CTGCTCCTGCTTCTCCGGCTCCTGCTGCTGCCCCTGCCGCCGCTGCTGCTGCTGCTGCTGCTGCTGCCCTGTTGCTGCTGCTGCTGCTGCCGCTGCTGCTGCTGCTGCTGCTGCTGCTGCTGCTGCTGCTGCTGCTGCTGCTGCTGCTGCTGCTGCTCCTCTCCTCCATTACTCACCTCCCCACTCTCTCTCCTCGTCACCTCCTCTCCCGTTCTCACTTCCTCCTCCTCCTCTTCGCACGTCTCTCTCCTTCCCTCCGCTCGTTCTCATCTTCCCTCGACAGGGAGCGTGTCCCGGACTTCTCGGAGATTCAGAGGCATTTTGACAAGCCGGAGAAACAGGCGGCCGCGCAGCTGGGAATCTGCTTGACAAGCCTCAAGAAGATCTGCAGGTCAACTCCTGCTGTAGCCTAGCTGGACTGTCCCCGTCCCTCCTCCTACTTGTCTTTTACTGTCCAATCTCTCTTGCTCCCTCCTCCTGTTCCTTTCCCCCAGATCCTGCTGCTCCTGTACCCGCACCCGCTCCTCCTGCCCCCTCGCTTCTGCTCCTGCTCCTGCTCCTGCTCCTGCTCCTGCTCCTGCTCCTGCTCCTTCTCCTTACCTTCGTTGCAGAGCGCAGAACGTCAGGAGGTGGCCATATCGCAAGATCCACAGCATCAACAAGCGGGGCCATGTCATGACTGAGGAGGAGGCAGGGACGTCCTGCTCTTGCAAGTCCCTCTTACCACCCCACAGATCCTCCTCTACTGCCAGTCGGAAGCAGCGGACAGAAGTCCGAGCCCTTCTTCTTCCGGACCCAACACTCCCTCTGCTGCTGGTATAGGAGGCGATGGCGGGGGGGGCTGGGGCGAGCAGGAAGCAGAGGAGGAAGATGAGAAAGGATGGGGGCGAAGAGGAGGATGAAGGATCGAGGAAGCAGACTGTAGGCAGTGGAGGGAGGGAGGGAGGGAGGGAGGGAGGGAGGGAGGGAGGGAGGGAGGGAGGGAGGGAGGGAGGGAGAGGATTTGACGTTCCGATGTCGCAGCAGACAGCAGCCTGTGGTCTATGGGGGATAGGGAGGAAGGAGATGTAGATGACGATGGAGGAAACGAGTCGAAAGGGGAAGGGTAAATCGTTTTTCCTTGTTGCTTCCCCTTTTCCTTCTGCTCCCCCTCCCCCTGCCCCCGGTCCTTCTCCTGTTCCCTCCCTTCCCTTCCCTTCCCTTCCCTTCTTCACTCCCCCCCCCGCTCCCTCAATTTCCCCATCCCCCTTGTCCCTCCTTCTGAAGCATTTCCTCCTCCTCCAACTTGCCCTCCCCCTTCTCTCCTCCTCCTCTCCCTCTCCCTTGCCCTTCCCCTCCTCCTCCCCCTCTCCCTTGCCCTTCTCTCCTCCTCCTCTCCCTCTCTTCTCCTGCCTCTGGTTCCTCCTCCTGCTCCCCTGACATTGATGTGCAGCGAGGCAAAAGACGCTCACCCGCACAAACTCGATGAGCAAGAGGAGGCGAACGCGGCGGTGAGAAGGGAGGAGGAGGAGGAGGAGGAGGAGGAGGAGGAGCAAGACGGTGGGGGAGAGGAAGAGGGAGAATACGAGGAGGAGAGGAGAAGTCAGGCGCGGAGGAAGCGGAGAAG